TAAAAACTAATGAAAAACAATCATCACCACAAACTTTGGTGAATTGATTTTATACCAAAAAAATTATTTAAATTAAGAGAAAACTCAATTATATAAATTTTTAATCATAAAAAATTTCCGCGCTTTCAAGCGCGGGTCAAAATCTAGTTTTTTTATTAAATAATCTATGTGTTACTTTGATTGGTCATTGATGAAGAGGTAAATATAAAAGTTCACCCTAAACGGTGAACCTGAGTTTTGTTCAACTTATTTGGCTCGAACACCTAAAATTTAGGTTTTTTAAAAAACAATTAATGTTAAAATGAAAATAGTGTATGAAAATGTTATTTGTAAGATTTATCATGTGTATATAGAGGTTTAGATTAACTTCCTAGATTTATCTTTCTGTCTAGATTTTACAACTCAAATTTATTTTCTTAATAGAAATAAAAAGATTATTATTATTTTATTTACTTAATTTTGGGTCAACTGTTGATTTTAGAAGTAATTTTCCATAAATGTTTTAGTAAATATCAAATATGAAATGAAAAGATCGTAATAAACTCTTTTTAATTGTTACTAGATTTTGACCCGTGTAACTGCGTGGGTGTTTGTTTTCGTTTATAATTAGTTATATAAACATTTTGTTTTCACTTTTAAATTGGTATATATTATATTAATCACATATTTACGATGTGTATAATAAATGTTTTTCAAACATAATAATACTATATAATACGTGTTTTAATCCTCCATAGTTAGTTTTGTCTCCATGAATGAATCAACTTCACTTGGATGTGCCATCCTTGTTTGTAGGGCTTGACAGCATTTAGCAAAGAGATACTCTTGTTTGTAGACATGGCTGGAGGCAAAGGTTTGTGATGTCGAATAACAAAGGCTGGAAGCAAAGGTTTGTGATGTCGAATAATAGAGTACTAGGTGATTTTCCCGTGCTCATGCACGGACATAAATATTTATAAAATAAATATATTTTAATAGTTGATTGATATTTACTTTAAATTTTATATTAATTTATAATTTTTATGTATAATTATATTAATAATATTATATTTTTAGTTATATATTATTTTAGATATATTATATTTAGTTAGTTTATCATTTGGATATATATATATATATATATATATATATTGGATTCTATCTATTTATCTGAATTCAACTATAATCTTTTTTATTCTAAATATATAATTTTTTTGATTAATTGTTTTATTTACATTTATGTTGGTTGTTATCTTAAAAATATAAGTATATCTTAGTAAGATTATGTATTTTAATATTTTTTTGTGCTTAGAACGAAAAAAATAAAAACTAAAGTGTCTGATTCTAAATTACATACATAAGTCATAATAAATTTTCAGAAGCTTATGAAAACATATCAATATTTACAATAATTAAATATTTTAGAAATTTTAAATAATTTATGCTTTAGATTGATTGGATGGTAAACTGAAATTTATTTTAAATAATTTATAAAATAAAGAATTATAATTTTCTTAAGTATTTTGATTATGGTTATATTAAATTCCACAAACATAAAAACAGAAAATTAAACATCAAAAGAGTTATTAAGAAAACATATATTTTTTTTTTGAGCAACCGAAAACATATAATTTTAACTATTAAAATATAATATATCTACCTCATTAAATTATATAGTGTTATGATATTTTAAAAGAATTGTAGTTATCTGATCAAAAGATGTTTACCATTAAATTTATTTTTAGTTTTGTTTTTAATATCTCTTAATATATACAGTAAAAATGTGATTGTTTTTGAGAAATTATATTATATAAGTAAAATATAATTTATATTTTTTGCTGTAACGGTAAGATATTATAATCAAATAAATATACTAATTATAATTTTTTTGTCAATTAAACATATATCAGTTTATGTTACTTAATTATTTTATGTAATCATCTAATAAAATAGATAGATATATACAAAAATTAATTACTTTGAAAATATATATTTTATTGTTTAAATTCTTTTTTTAAAGAAAAAATATTTCTTTTTCTAATATCAAGATTATTTGTATGAATATTTTTTATGAAAACACATTATATACAAATATTTTTTTCATCTAAGAAGATATAGATATAAAGTATAATTATTTAAAAAGTATAATTTATGTTATTTAAAAATATATTTAAGTTAAATATTATTATTTTGTAAACTTTCTTTTTTATGAAACCATATTATATATATATATTTATTTATTTTTCGTTTTTAAATAGTTTTGTAAATTTTAGAAATATTTCCTTTTTATTTTATATTGTTATTTGGAAGATTTTAAAAAGGAAATAATAATATTTAAATATATTGTTAATTCATTAAGGGTATCATAGTAATCAACCAGCGTGAGAGTTAACGTGAACGCGACACCTAAGAAAATGACTTCTCAAATAATATTATAGAGATTACCATTAGTATATATAGTATGTAAATTTTGTTAGGGTATATATCCATATTACGAATCTGTGATTTTTGTTATATATTGTAAATGCATTTAACTATTATTGATATATTTCCTTATAAATAATAGAAGATTCCTAAACTTATATTTATTGACATATTTTGAGTGACTAAGTTGGAACGTGTGGGGTAATTTATCCAAACCAAATTGTTAAGCGTATCTTTGTTATTGTAGATATGAATTTTCATAAGATATAATAATGATAAGATTAGAGAGTTAAATGTAACATGATTTTCTATTAATAATTTATTTTAAAAAAAAAATCATACATAAACTCAAAACATTTCTATTTTAATATAATAGATTTATTCATCCACTACAAGAAAACTAAACATTTACTAGGAAACTTTACTAGGAAAATAATTCCTCGTAAAATTACTACGAATTTACTTCGAGTTTACGAGGAAACCATGTTTCCTCGTAAGGTTCTCGTATACTTACGAGAAAACAGTTTCCTCGTAAAGTCGTAGTAACATTACTAGGACTTTACGAGGAAAAAAACGCGGGCATAGCTATTTCCTAGTAAAGCAGTTTCCTCGTAAAGTCCTAGTAATTGCTAACTACGAAATTAAGAGGAATGAGTTTTGTTACTACGAAATTAAGAGGAACTAGATAGAAAATATCGAATTTAAATTTTGTACCTACTTTTCCTAGCAATTTCTTAGTAAATTCTCAGATTCGAAAATTTCTATAAATACCACCGTATGTGATTCATTTGAGACACACCAAACAAATACAAAATACTCAATTCATAACTGAAAGAAGTTCACAGTCAACATAATAGTTTCTTATCAACTCCTCATAGCTTTTCCTCAAAGAAATAGCTTGGGGCTTTTCTTCAGGTAAATAGTTCGAGGAAAGCTATCTGGGGTTGATAAAAACCGTTCTGATGACTGTATACTTCTTTTAGTTTTTTAAAAAAAATTTGTGATTTGGGGTTTAGGAAGATGTATAGGTATAAGTTATGGAAGTTGGTTTAGGTTTAGGGTTTAGGTTTAAGGTTAGGGTTTAGGGAATTTAGATTAGGTGGTTAGTTTAGGGAACTTATATTAGGTTGTTTAGTTTTGAAAATTTGGGGTTTAGGTGTAGAAGAGGTTAGGAGTTTGGTT